TATACTATTATTATCTTTTTTATGGCAAGACCCTGCATTGATAATTGTGTTATAAACTTAACTATATCAACCATAACTGCCTTATTTGAATAGTATTTTTTTTTTTTTTAAATAAATTAATGTCTCAAAAGGCAATCAACTGTTTTATTTTTGTTTAATATACTTACACTGTAACGTCAGAGAAAAATTTCACTGAGGTATTTTGGGTTACATTTTAGTAAATTAATTTTACTAGCATGTAGTAATAAATAAGTAAAAAGGTCAAGTTATGAATTGATAAGTTGACGAAAGACTTACTTAAATACTAGACTCCATATCTATTATTACATATCAAATAAAAATTATTATTGTAAAAAAAAAATACTAGTGGTATTGAGCTCAAATTGAGCTTTTATCGTTGGGTACTGCTAAAATCAAACCAATTTATGATTATCTTCTAATTAATTATTTAATTCTAACATTTCTGTTTTATTTTATTACGTTGGATTTGAAATATTTTTTTCCCGAATAATTTTTTTACTAATTCGTCCTACTGTGCGCTGCGAGACATCCAAACCTTAAGCGCGGCTATAAATCCCTGAGTCCATGCAAGAGGAGATCTTCCACCGTCTGCATGGGCTCAGTCACCCTGAGAAAACCCGACAAGAAACTTAAGGCGGCCCGTTACTCAATTTTTTTTTTTCAGGCCAAGTATGAACGTCGACATCTCGAGGTGGGCTCGCTGCAGCATACCATGCCCGCGGTCAAAAGTGGTCCGTCACACTATAACCCTTCCAGGTACTACCCCAAGCTCGAGGTTTGAACACTCCAACTGAATGAGAAATTACCTTACCATCATCGACCCCGTTAGCCAGAAGCGTGTCCACTTGATGAAATAACATGTACCTAGGTGGCAGAAGCGATTGTGGGCACGTGTATTTCACATACCGGCACCTATGTGTTTCCCTTTTAATTTTAATCCTGATCACTTCTTTTTTTCCCATGTTACACCTGATGACCTCAACTCCATTCAGAAGTCGCAGACCAATGATTATGGACCTGATAACAGTGGCTTGGATCCCAGTCAGACTGATCAAAGTCTCACTACCATCCATCCTTCCAATCGTCTTCTATATCTACAATTACTCACTACAAAACGCTACCTTCCCTACATCCTAGAAAACCGCACTAGTTCACCCTGTGCAGAAGACTTCCAATCCATCAACTCTTAATGATTTTCGTCCAATTTCTCTCCTCTCAAACCTTTCCAAACCTTTAGAGCGACTATTTTCACACCCACTTATCCGACTTTTTAGAACAGAATAACCTCCTAAATCCCAACCAGTCCGATTTCTGACCCGGCTACTCCACTCAATCTGCCCTTATCGAAATTTCCCAAGACATTCATACAGCCATGGACCAGCAGAAACTCACCATCCTAATTCTCCAAAGCCTTCGATCCAGAAGACCACAAAATTCTCCTAACCAAGCTTAAAAATATCTCCTTTTCAACTAGTACTCTAAATTGGTTCCAAGCCTTCCTTTCCGGTCGCTCCCAATATGTTGTAGTCCCCAATAACAACTCCCTCATCAGAATCTTTACCCTTGTCCAGAGTTGTTCCACAAGGCTCCTCCTTATCTCCCACCCTTTTTTCCATCTACATCAATGATCTTCCATTCTCTATCCTACACTGTCAATACCATCTGGATGTCGACGACGTCCAGATTTACCTCTCCTTCAATCAGACCGAATCCTCTGACACTATCGAAAAATTGCAGGAAGAATAGACGGAATTTCTGTCTGGGCAAACCACTCCGAGAAGACGGAAGCCATCCTTGGAACTCCCTCACTCCTCAAATCCTTACCGACAATCCCCAATATTTTCCTGAACAACTCACCTATCTCATTCCATACTTCCGTAAAAAACCTTGGTGTTACCTTTGATCAAAATCTCTCCTGGAAACCACACATCTCTCAAATTTCTCGTCGTACTATCTCTACCCTGAAACAGTTTAACCGTCTTTTTTTTTTTTTTTTCCTAGCCCCTATGGATAAGGATATGTATTATTACAAAATGTTTGCTTATTTGGCTTTTTGCTGAATCTGAGATTCATTTTGAAGCCTTTTTGTGTTATATATGTTTTATGATATTTTGTTAATCTTTAGATTAACATTTTTGGGAGTAAGAAGACGTTGGGGCACGTCTTCGTTATGAGGTTTTTGAACATAAAACTAAAACTAACCTAAGCCTAAAACTAATATTATTAATTAAAACTAAATCTAATATTTACACTATTTACACTAAAGCGTCCATATCGCTTCTCTCCTAAAATGTCATCTGCCATCTTACTGGCGGGGGTCCAGGTGTTAATGTACTGAACAGTGGATTCGGTAGATATTTTAGTGAGTCCAGGAATTTAATATGTCTTCTCCTTATAAATTCCGGGACTGTTGGAATATCTAGTATGCGGTGTAGCTCTGGTGGTTTCTCTTTCTTCCACACCGTTGTTCTCACTATCTTTCTTAGTATCGTATTCTGGAAGTTCTGGAGGTGACGATGCGTAAATTCGGTGAGATGTGTGAACAGCGGTGCTCCGTAGAGTAGTGCTGGTCTTAGTATTGCTTTATACACCTGCAGTTTGAGGCGCAGTGAGAGAGCTGAGGATGTCAGAAGATGGTGCAATCGGTAGGTTTTTCTCCTAATCGATCTTGTCTTCTTGTGTATGTGTGTAGTGAAGTGTAGGTGCCGGTCCAGAGTGATGCCCAGGTATACAATTGAGTTGGATGGTGTGATATTTTTGTTTGCCACTCGGAGGTTTCTCGGTAGTCTATTCTTTTTCCCCTTCTGATGAGAGAAAACTACAGTCTGTTTTAGCTGGATTCACCTGAATGTTGAGGTTTTCCAGCTGTCGAACAATCTCATCACAGGTGTTTTCGGCCTGTTGTAGTGCTGTCTTGGGGTTTACACTGCGGCTGTAGATGGCGATGTCGTCTGCGTACGCAGCAACGGTGGCTGTTTTGTAGTTCTTGCCAACTACATCCGCTGTATAAATTGAGAACAGTACTGGCGAGAGGAATGCTCCTTGTGACACACCACACGTCAGGCGAATGGTGTTGGAATGCTCATCTTGTACTCGCACCGATAGACTTCTATTTTGGAGGAAGGAGGCAATGATTGTGTATAGCTGCTCTGGGAACTCGAGATATATGAGTTTATGGCATAGAATGCCTTCGAATGCCTTTGTGCAGTCAATTGAAATCATGGCTGTTGCCTCGTTCCTGTTGAAATTGGTGTTTACCTCATGGTGTAGTTTCATGAGATGGTGTTCCGTGCTAAGTTGGGCTTGAAAACCGGTTTGCTCGTAAGGAATTACGGAGTGTTCATCACAGAATTCCCGAAGGTAATTCAGAATGATCTTTTCGTAAACCTTAGCGAGGTGCGGCAGCAAACTTATGGGTCTGTAGTGATCTGGTTTGTCTCCCGGTTTAGCCGGCTTGAGGAGTGGAAACAGGATAGCATGCTTCCATTTCTCGGGGAAGTATCTCAGCCTCAAGCACGAGTTGTACAAGTTCGTGAAATGAGCAATTCCTTTGCGTGGCAGTTGTTTAAGGAGAACTGTCTGTATTCCTTCATGACCAGGAGCCCGGTTTCCATGTGATCTCCTAAGTATGGCTTTAAGTTGTTTCGGGCTGACGAACATGTAGTTGTCCTCTCTGGTCATATCGGGAATCGAGAGCTGATTTCCTGTCCGTTCAATGATGTCTTAGTTAAAGTATTGGACCAAAACTTCGGCTTGCTCGGCATGGGTAAGAAGGCGGTCTCCGTCGTGCAGGCGCACACCTGAGCTTTTCTTCGTCGCTGCCTTGGTGAGTTTCCAGAACTTCCTATTATCCCCGTGGGTTGCCTCAAGACACTGATACCACGTAGCTGTTCTCCATTGTCGCATCAGATTCTTGATTTGGGTGGTGAGTGAGTTTAGGTCCTTCTTGATGTTCTGGTCTCTGGAATGATAGTACCTGTTCTTCAAGGTGCGCCTGCTCTTTATGACTGCCATGACGTGTGGTGGGGGTGACTGTAGGTGGGGTGGTTGTGGATGGAAGGTGGGGATAGCCTTCTGCGCAGACTCCAGTATGACTGTAGTGAGGAAGATAATGTATGTATTTATCTCTTCTTTAGTTTTCAGCGGTTGAATGGACTGCAGTCTATGGCATATTTCTTCTTTGTAACGACTCCAATCCGCCTACTGGTAATTGAATTTCTTTTGCGCTGTCACCGGTTTTCTTCCCTGGACTTCATATACCACCGGGCGGTGGTCTGACGTGATAAAATCGGTGACAGTGCAACCTGTGATACGATGGGGCTGTCTAGTGAGCAGTAGGTCGATGGTGGATGTGGAGCCGTTTCCATCGTGGAGGAAAGTGTGGGTAGACGGGTGTACAACCGTGTAAGCGGTTTTCACCAGATGTCTCCCAGCTGCGTTGGACCTGATGTTATGCCATAAACTGTGTCTTGCATTAAAATCTCCTATGAGCCAATGGTTAGTTTTCACCCCACAGGTGTCTACGAGTTGCCGTAGCTCTCTCAGCGACCCCCTTGGGCGCCGGTAGATGCCTGTGATGTAGGTGGGTTGGCCCATGAGCACTTGGACAGTCACATGGCTTATTCGGGTGTCTTGAGTGTTCATAGGAGGAGGCATTTTCTTCCAAGTTACGCCATGCCTCACCGCTATGAGAACACCTCCATGTGGGTCGTGCTGGTTGTCCATGGCTACGGCGTATCCACGTAGGTAGGGCGGTGGTCCTTGGAGTCTAGTGTCTGTGAAGACTGCGACAGAAGGCTGCGTTATTGCCAAGAGCATCTCTATTTCATCTTTCTTCGAGACGATGCTGCGGCAGTTGTAGTTAAGCAGGGTGAAGCTGTTCATTTGCTGGAGCCCTGGTTCTTGATGTCCCTTAATGCCGCTGTCATCTCCCGCATCAGAATGGTGAACTGGGTGAGCATCGTGCCCATCTGCCCCACCAGCGTGACCATGAGCTGTGATTGGTCAGTTGAAGGTGGTGTGGGTATGTCCTGATGTTGCGCGTGCGCAGCCTTTTCTGTAGTTGGTGGGAGATGGGAGGGATGACTGGTCTGCTCCGGCTCCGCCCTATTGGTGGGAGGTGGTGGAGACGGCTTCAGTAATGACGCAAAATCCGTGCCCTGGCGAATTTTTGCGCTGTTCTTTATTACTTGAGTTTTGGTCTTAGCGGCGGCTTTCTCCTCTTTCTTCTTTTCCGCTAATTCCTCTAGCTGTTTGCGGTGAGGGCATTGTCTGTAAGACGCGACGTGTGCCCCGCCGCAATTCGTGCTCTTCGGCACGCCCTGTCGCTCACATTGGGATATTTCGTGGTCTCCCCCGCAGCGTACGCATTTTGCTCTGTGTCCGCAATAATTTCGAGTATGCCCGAATTGCTGACATTTGTAGCACTGAGGTGGGAGTACTTCCTTTCGTTGTATATAGTTCACTACGGTAAACCTGCATCTATTAATATGTTTTACCGTGTCCTGTATTTGCTTCACGGTTGTTCCTCTTGGTACTGTGATGACTATGGGCATTAAATATGTTTTTCTGCCCTCTCGATCAGTTTTTTGTAGGCGTCTGACGTCCGTGGCCTGAACGGTCTTGATTGCCTCGCGCACATCAGTTATGGGAATCGATATTTTTTATTACATATTTGTTTTGCTTTTTTGTTGTCTCACGGGGGGCTTATGTGTGGTGACCAATCCCACAGTAATTGAAATGTTGTAGAAGTATTGATCGGTCTGCCGGTCTTTCCAAATGTATGAGAATCTCCGTTCTGTTCAATCGGAGATAGTATTCCTGGATTTTAATTTTATCTAGGAAACTTCTGACCTGTTGTAGGGTGAATCTTTCCCTGTCCATGACTACAGGCGGTATCTTGTTTTCTTGTATGATGGGGGTTGCTTTGGATGTGGATGTGGAGGCTGAAGGTGTAGTCGCGGCTGTTGTAGCCATATTCTCTTCTGTCTGCATCTCGGCCAGCGGTTGAAATTGGTTTTTAACTTCAACCGTTTTCTTTATCGGTGCTCTTATTTTCCTCTTTGAGACCTTCTTGAGTTTTTGAAGAGATTGAGCACCCTCTTCGTCCTGCTCGGGTGGAAGTGGTACGTTTAAACCTTCCATTAGAACAATTTATAATCGCCACTGAAGGTTAAATAACCGTTATTCGGCACTGATTCTAAACACTAACACTGAAACACTGTATCACTGTAAGAGTCGCACTAAATTGTAGTGAGGGTGACTTACCGGATCGGTTGATGTCTCTTGCACCGGATGGTGGCACCGGTCAACTCATGAACTAACAACAGTTTACCCGATGGCAGCACTTGCCAGAGTCACGCTACCCGTACCTCTAAGGGTTGCTGTCAAGGGTGAGTCCAAGTGATAAGCATGGATCTTGACAGCTTTAGGGTGCAAATCTGAGCAAGCGGAAAAACTTGTTCTGAGGTCTTCTTTTTAGGTCTTCACTGTTCGAAGGCTGGAGCTGAAGTGTGTTTAACCGTCTCCGCTATCTCCTTCTATATAAATCCCGACAACTCCTGGTTTCCTCCCTTGTGTTCCCCCACTTCGACTATGGCTGTCTGGTGTACAGCGGACTCTCGGAAGAATTCATGGCCAAACTTAAACGCATGATGAACTGCGCAATACGTTTTGTTTTCGGAATCTCAAGAGATACGCATATAACCCAGTATTACACCAAGTTGAAGTGGCTCTATCCATCCAACCGTCGTTTCCTTGCTACCTTTCTATATCAATCCATCAGAATTCAGCGACCTTCCTATATTTTTCACAACTTATAAATTAAATATTCCATTCAATCCCGTCCCACTAGATCCCGTACTTCTGACCTCTATCCACCTCCTCACCGAACTGCTGCGTTTGACAAATCCTTTATAATTCAAGCCGTCTCCATCTGGAATACCATCCCTCCCGATATCCGACATGTGCAATCAGTTTCCTCATTTAAATCTCTCCTTTTTAAGCACCTACTTCTTTCCCAACCCGATTGATCATGAAAAGTAGATAAGAGAACTTTTTAAGTTCTCCCAGAAAGTTTTGTTTAATTACGTTATTTTATTTTAATCAATTATTTTATTTTAGTGTGTTTGTATCTGCTTTACTTTTTTTTCAATATTTTTATTTTAATGAGCATTGTAAATATTTAATTTAATTTTATGGCCACACAGGCATTTCCTCTGTCTATAATTTGTCCTAAAGGGACAAAATTTCCAGGATAATAAAAATCTATTTTCATTTCATTTCATTACGGTACTCCGGCCTGAATTAACTGGCCAAAGCCGCTAGTTCGAGTAAGACCTCTTGGTTAACCTCACTGAAGTCCTTGATATTCATAGGAGTAGGACTACGTAACATCCTCAGTCCAACGAATGCGTGGAGCGATGGCATAGATCCCTTAAGGCACCCCATGCAGCAGTAATGAAAACGGCTGGATGGGCAAACACATCAACAGTCCTTGTGGGTCTCCAGTTGACATTCAAGAAGGATACGAGAGCCAGCGTTGTGGAAATGGTTTTGGAAATGGCGGAAACAGCCTTTTCGCCTTTCAGGATAGTTCTTCGAGCCATCAGAATCAGAAGACACGGAGGCCGACACTTAAGACCCTTCGAGACATAATGAAGAATCTCCGTACGGCCCCACGCAGCACCAGCACGGTGAAAACCATCCACTGAATCTTAAATGAATGCATCGGCGTGTTCCTAAGATATTGCACAGTGAGGAAGTCTCTAACTTCGCACTACAAAGTCAGAGTGCAGGACGAGAAGACGTTCCAGGTGCAGTCGCGATCAGGACTAAAAACAATATCCCTGCATCGTCTGAAGGAACCAGATCTTTTTCCAGACGCGGCTAAAGACAGTGGCAACAGGGATCGACCCACTACACCCGCAGCAGTTGCAACTGACCCTTCTAATGATCTCGCCGCAGAGCAGCCTCCATCCTGAGCAGTATATCACACCAGCGCTGGGCTTGCAGTGAGACCGATGGTTAGGTTCATTGCCGATGTCTTTGGGGGAAGAGATTTTCACTACAAAAGTTCGTAATGAAGTGATAACAGGCAGCTTATGTACACAGAGTGCTCACTGGCGTGAGTAAAGAGGTTGAGTAAAATGGTCACTGCCGCATTCATTTCAATTTTTTCATTTTTTCTTTTAATGTTTTAAACAAAGATAGGAAACTACTTTTCGACAAGCAGAGACCCCAGTGGAGACGTCACTTTGACGATCTCCTCAACAAGAGACCTTTGGAACTCTGTGAGAAATAGGGAGACGAGGGCCAAAGGGAGAATGAAGCAGATGAAGAGCCACCATACAAAGAAGAGATCCTCGTTGTCACCAACCAATTGAAATGCAATAAAGCTCCGGTTGTTGATGGATTTCTCTCAGATTGCGGTGGAAACGAACTATTGAAAGATATGCAGGATCTCCTCATCACAGTTTGGACGTATGAAGTTCTACTAGACCCATGAACTAAGTCGCTAATTTGTCCCATATGTAAGAGGGGCGATCGACTAATGTGCTCCAACTACAATGGGATCTCCCTCCTATCTGCTGGATACAAAGTCTTCTCAAACTCCCTCTTCAAGCGTTTGCTATCCTATGCGTAGAGGGTAGTCGGCAACTACCAGTGATTCAAAAAAGGCAGGCCTGCAACCGATGATCATATATCCTTCATCCGGACGATTCTGGAGCCAGGAAGAGATTTCAATATTAAAACTCACCATCGCTTCATCGATGTTAGAGCAGCTTACGATAGCGCGACTAGAGAAAAATTACACTTGGCTCTAAAGAATTTTAAGGTCCCTAGCAAGCTTATATATGCCTTGTGAGGATTACATAGAACAATGCTAGCTACATGGCTCAAATCGGTGAAGAGCAGTCAGAAGAATTCCCACTAAGAAAAAGGATTACTACAGGAAGACGCCTTAGCTTGTCTTCTCTTGGATCTTGCGCTCGAGGAAGCAGTGAGAGATGCTGGAATACAGACCAAAGGCACTATTTTTAATATATCTCTACAGCTCCTTGCGTAAGCAGATGATATAGACATCGTGAGACGCTCCTTCTAGGCTGTATCGAACGCTTGCTATGGTGGGTACTGCAAGAAGACGGCTTGGAAGTCAACTCTACCAAAACGAAATATATGGTTACAGGAGAGTTTCCTGGGAGTAGTTGATTTTCTGAGAGTACCAACACGAGGATACTAATGTTTTTGTATGTCTCGGCTAGTTGATAACTCAAAATAACGCCCTTGAACAAGAGGTCCGTCGTATCTTGGCAGCTAATCAATGTTATTTTTATATTGCATGGCATTTCTGGTGTAGAGCTCTCTCCAGAAGAGCAAGAAGGGTTTATGAACAGAAACTCCTGGTCTTTGAAAGAAGAATCCTCAGACATATCTATGGTGATGTTCTCATCGTAGGAGAATGGAAAAGGAGGAAAAATCAGGAGCTTTTTTTTTTTTCATTTCTCGTCAGCCCAAGACTTCTCCTTATTGCCCCTAAAATCAGAAGCTGTACATCATGTTTAAGGAGCCCGAAATAGTTCATGGGATGAAGATCGCAAGCAGGACATGAAGATGGGCAGGACATGTCTTCAACATGAGCTGTGAGGAATATACCAAGACAACAGCTGATGGAGCTACTCCATAGTTTCAGGAGAAGAGGAAGGCCAAAGCTGCGATGGGCTGATGGGTTGCTGCTGATGCAATAAACATGCTGAGGCTTCGTAATTGGATGGCGGCTGCAAGGAACCGAGACAATTGATAAATGCTGCTGGAGGAGGCCAGGATTCGACACCAGATTGTAGAGCCACGATAATAATAATAGGGTTTAGACAAAATATATTTCTTCTTTATCATTAATTTTATTTATTATTATTATGTACAGTATTTCTCATATTATTCAGTGACAAGTCTATTAGAAATTTCTCACCAGCTGTATTTTTGGGCCTAGGCGTTCTTATTCTCTATTATTAATTACTTTTCTTAATGATATTTTTACGGCTACGACTCAGATTTTGGGTTTTGGATTTTGGATAATTTGTATAAACGATTCTGTAATGAAGGAAAACATTTGGAGCGAGATAGTTATTTCTTTCTTATTCACCCAATTATCACAAACAAATAAGATGCTTTCGGAATAGAAAAATATGCATATTTGTTTTATTTTTTAGCCATTTTTTGTCCATATTTGTTTTTGTGAGTGATGTGAGCTAAATCGACATATGCATTATTTTAAAACTATATTGTACATGACGTCCAGAACCACACCCAGTTTTTAATAACACACCTGCTTTATCACCTCTCACTTAGTGATTTAATTACTAGTGAATTAGTGAAATTAAGTGTGAAAAAAACAGTGCTAATAGAACTATTACCAATTCTGATCATAACTCTTCAACTGATCATAAACACTGCTTGTTTAAGAACGTTTAGAGAACAGCATTAGCAACAATAGTTATGGGTAAAAAGGTCATATTTATCTATCATCCCTAATATGTCAGTAGCTTTCGGGCTTTCTGTGTTACATGACCCCTAACAGTCTGCATAATTCTTTACGTACTCAATAATTTTTACTTAATCGTCTTAGCTGTCATGAATTACCATACATTATCATGTTTAGTAAGAACAAAATGTTAAGAAGTATATGCAAAAAATAGCTCTCAAACTTTAACAGTGAGACAAATGCCTAGGATTGAAATATAATTTTAAAGTAGAATTTATGCAATATGAAATAATAAATATTTAATCAAATTATTAAGAAATAACTTACCAAACCAGAAAATGATTTGATGTAATTTCTAGCAAGTGACAAAATCTTCAGATTTCTCAGCCCAGATAGACCACCGATTTTTTCAATCATATTGGTCGACAAAGACAATTTTCTGTAATATAATAAATATGAGTACATTTGGATTATATCAAATCAAACACAGTTCCATTATAAAATCATATAACGTTTAGTGGATTGGTAACCAATCCAAACGAAATATTGTGGAATTATTAAATCTACGCTATTTTAAAATTCTCTAGATAATGCAATTTACATCAATAATTTAAAAACTTAAATTAAGATTGTTAAAAATTGGAATTTATTAAAATTGGAAATA